ATAATTTTATTATATCTTAGATATCATATCTTTAAATGATCTTATTTTTTTATGATATTAATTTTTGCCTGACAAATTAATTGAGCTTGAATTCAGATTGATTCATTTTTAAATTAGAATAATATATTCAAATAAATATATTTTATTCATTCAAAAGAATTCGAAAACTTATATTTCATTAATAAATATCTTTATTTATATATATTCGATTTATATAATTGAATTTAGAAATCTGAGAAAAGATTATAGAATTATATTAATTTTAATTTTCTTTTATTTCAGATATTCATTTATATGAAAATCCTTTTATTTTCAAATAAATTATCGAAAATATTCAATTATTATTTTATTCAATTTATCCTTGCATATTTAAGATGATAAGAATAAATATTGATATGAATTTTAAGAAGCGAGGGGGGGATGAAATCACAACCTCATCTCTTATAATCGGTATGCAAGCTTATTATCTATCAATTTCTTAAAATTTGAATAAATCCTATCGCTTTCTATAATATATAAATAAATATATATTCTATATTATTAATTATTTTTAATTTAAAAAATATATTTCTAAATTTTATTTCTATATTTCTCATTACCTCCCTGAATCTGGTATAAATAAATTCATTTTTGAATATAGATAATTTTTACAAGCACTAGATATGATATTACTTTTTTTGCATAAATATATATTGGATCGATTTTTCTAGATATAATAAATCTAGGAGTGTAATTTGATTTAACGAAAATATAATTTTATAATATATCATTCGAGATAAAACTAATTATAATTTATTATATCTATTTTTTCGATTTTCTATATATATATAATATCTTTGCCATATATAATGATAAACTACTATAAAGAAAAAATAATAATAATAAAAATTATTACCGGAGTTGACTTATTATAGAAAATATCGAATAATTTTTGAAATTATTTATATATTGAAGATATATATTTCATTATTATATATCATATCAAGGTATAAATAAGATTAGATCCGAAACAAATAAATTATTCAAGAATTCAAATCTCCCTCCGCACGTCTGCGAGCGAAATTAAGATTTAGAGACCAAAGACTACGAGGCTTATGATCCAAGCCTTCCCTAGAAATAGGAAGAGAGATCAAGCAATAAATCAAATTATTTTTCTTTTATATTTCTAATCTTCGGAATTTAAATATCGAAATATTGAATATTTTTTAATTTTTCTTTTTATTTTAATATCTATCTTATATTATAATATTAAATTTTTCGGAATCGATAATTATATTATCTTTATTATATTTTCAAATCAAAATTATTATTATTATCTTTATCATCAATTATCCAAAGAGCTCTTGCATAGATAGGGTGGGCAAGTGCGGCTTCCCCGTGTAGCAGCAACCAACCCCAAGCCGCACCAACAGAGGCAAGGGGGAGCATCATAGGGACGGGGTGGGAGCGTAGGACCGGGAGCATGGTGGCTGACTACGAATTATATTAGAGATTGGAAGAATCAATAATTCGCACCTTTTCGCACCATTCAGAAAAATGATGCTAATAATAACCATATCAATGATACCCAACAACAACGACTGCAATGGCTGGGATGACGGAAGCGAAGGGGGTTCTATTCGTGGCGCCTCCCGCTTCCCAAGAGTAGCGCTAACGGGGGGTCAGCAATAGTAACGGAGCAAAACCAAAGAGTACGATGCAATGTCATAGCTATTGTTTTGTCATAATAGTGTAATAAAAAATAGTATTTTCCACGCAGGGGGGGGGGGACTTGTCAAGATCCATCCATCTGTACTCATCATGTTAGTCTAGCAGATGTGAGGTGATGTGATTCGTGAAAAGGAGCTGGAACGGTTCAAGCCTGATGTTGCACCCCGACTACTCGACATCAAAGCAACACTCACATGCAGAGTGCCTGGATCATTTAATCAATCTGCTCTGGAGCCTGCATCGAAGCTATCGGATGGCAGTTGGAGCTTTGCCGACCCGCCGTCTCAGAGAAGCACACCCAAATACTGGGCTTTCGGATACCTGGCAGCATGCCCAGTTGCCGTGCCTACTTAAGCCACGTGTCATCCTGCCTCTCAGCTAGTTCCGGCCAGTGCACCACGAAGCTGTCGGAGACCAGATATGTGAGCTTTCCAGTCATGGACCTCTCAGAAACTCAACAACTGGGTAACAGACGGGTCACGACCTAAGGACCTAGTTGCTCAAGGACGATGCCTGCTATGAGATAAAATCTTCAAGCAGCCCGTCATTTTAGCAATGCCGCCTTTGGCAAGCACCTACAGTATTCCGACGTAGATATACACGTAGCTGGTCCGGAGCAAAGTACTTTGACCGCACAGGACGCCGCAGCTTGGGCTCCAAGCGTGGTTGCCTTGCTGTATAACTCAGCCGCACCGAGTTCCGGGGTCAGTCAGTCTGCCGCCCCGGAAGCCGCTGCGCGGCTCTTACATCCGTGCCATAGCGGCTTTCCGGCCAAGTCGGGGTCTCACAAACAGGCACACCGTTGTGATCTGGAAGGAAACAAGAGCATCTCGAGTGGGACGTCATCTGGTCGAGCAATTATGGGAGAGATGAGCCGTGTTCTCATCGGCTGAGACCCAGGCAGTGACTTGACCCGGCAGACGCTTTCGACCTCTGATCATCCGGAGAGTCTTAGGCGGTCGCTGCAACTCTCCCAGTCAACCCTGTCAAAATTCCAAGGCTTCGGCAAATACAAGTGACAAACTTCGGAAAGCTACTAGCTCGAAGAAAAGAGCAGCAGCCACAACCTTAAGGAGAAAAATTGTGAAGAGTTGAAGAGCTTGGCATGCTACTTTGGGCCTCCGAGCCCCAGGCTGGAATGCATGTGCCCGGCCCGTTCACAATTAATACCTGAAGCGAAACCTCTGACTGACAATTGCCGGCATCATGCCTTCCCACCTGCGGGCGCAGCTTCCAAACGAGACCCAGGCAGGATGCCAAGGCCTGCAGGGCTGCTGATCAACGGCACGGGAACATTTCTTAGTCATGCATTTGTATCATCAGTCTGCGTTTCGTTATTCATGCTCTTGTGGGTCGCTGGACGGAGGCCTTCATGGTCGAGAACAGCGTCGACGTCCAGGATTGGCCTACCTGCATATTCTGTCAGAACAAGGTGGGATACTTCATGTAGTGTGTCCAGAAAGGCATGAGCCTGAACAACCATCTGACGTGGTCAACAAGCGAGTCACACATGATGCAGGTGACAACATGGCACGTACTTCCACATTTACCGTAACAAGCAAAATGACACGTGCAAGCGACCACATACTGTACTGTCACTAGCCACTAGTCACTCGTGCGCATCAATCTGCACAGTAGTTTTGTTGGCCTGTGCTCGATGAGTGCATGTCACGTGTTTGGAACTATAGCAACTTGCAGACTCACGCCAGTGTCGGCACCTCTCGGCTTCGTGGAATTGTGTGAAAGCGCTCGAGGTTTTCTGCCAAGTCAGGGCGCGTAGCCTGGACCTGCAAAAGAAGAGACATGCAGATTGACACGTGATGGCTATGTCGGCTGTGTCATTGATAGATAGTGGCGTTGACATCGCCTTGGTGGTCCCCATCGGCTTGAGATGCACAAGGAAACCTACTAGTCCATGAAGCTGGACAGCACATGGTGCAGGCCTTCTTCAAAGATGTGGAGTCTGTGTCACCCAAGATGAAATCACACCTGTACCTTTTCGCGAAGTTGATTCGAGATTGTCTGAAGTGCAGGGTCCAGACAATGCTCGTTCGAACTCCTGTCCGTTTTGCCTACCAGATTACCAGTGGCCGACACAAGCACACCCAGATACTCAGTACACACGGGATCAGAATTCCTTCTTCGACCTGGAGACCGAGAAATCATGACAACCAGTCTGCTGAAGTCCAACAGAAGCAAAGAGCTGCGAGTAATGCGCACTTGTCTTGGTCCAAGTCTTTCAACAGTGACAGCATCTCCTCCGGCAGTCAATGCGCAAAAGAGAGGAAGCACGACAAACATGTCATGCATGTTCCATCCGAAATTGAAGAAGATTGTCAGATTCTGCAAGGAGGTTCGTTTACTCACGAAGCAACAGGCAGCGATGCTGTCCATCGTGTGACCTCCAGAGCCGAGCACGACTAGTGAGCGCAGTGGCAATGGCCTCGAAACGGAGCGTTCAAACTTCACGATTGCTTGCAAGCCTCAGCCCAAAGCAGCCTGCACTGGGCCTCGGACGTTCCGGCCCATCTCCGCCTGTCGATCGCAGCAGTTGACTCAGCATCCTAGAGGGTCGACACAGCAGGCTTTCAGCTCCTGCTTTCCCTGCGATCCCAGGAGATCCGCTCGAGCATCCACCTTATCGATGCTGACACATCTTGACACATGCACACCTGGTTTCTCTCGACACTCGAAGCTGCTATCTTCTGTTGCTCCGAGGCACCAGAGCACTCTTGCTGCCAGTGTTAGCCACACGCAGACCAACCTGAAGTTGTGTCGGGACAGGCGCAAAATTCAAAAACCTGGACATTTCGCTCATGCTATCTGCCTGTTTACCGAGCGCTCGCTTGAGACCTGTAGGAGACATATTCAAGAGCTAGTCACCACCATTAACAGGAGGCTGCCACATCATCAGCACCTGGACTCCCAGAACAGGAGACGTAAGTGACTCAAGTCTCTAGATGTTTTGAGATGTGGCACCAGACCTGACCATGGAGGTGAGAGTGCTATTGGACTGGTGCAGTCGCGAATGATGCAGGTGGGCTTGCTGATCGAACATGAAGGTGTAGCAATGCAGAGGCAATCAGCAGCCTTGCTAATCCGAAGACAGCGGATTGATCGTTGGAGGCCCAAGAGACGGGCCCTTTCGTGTACAGCAGTGGGGGTCTCCATGTTCCTTCCGGCGCAAATGCTAGGGAGCAAACACGACGGCTAGCATAGCTTCAGGTCATCGCCATCAGCAGCTCTCTGGCAATATGGGCATTCATTCTGTTGACCACAATCTGCTGCACACATCTCTGACTTGGTGTTACAACGTCCAGAAGCTACGAGCTAGCTTAAGCTTCAATGCCCTGAAGCTAGGAGTGCTTCTCTGAATCATCTGTGCCGTTACTGAGTGGTCCTTGGTGTAGGGGTTCTATCTGTGCCTGGTCAGGAGCGGGCATGCAAGTTGCAATCATAGTTGCTCCTTGGAACATGTCCTGCACAGCAGATGACCGAAAAAGATGTGCACTTCCCATTCGATTTTCCACTCAGGACTAATAAATTCGCCGTCTATGTCGTGAGCGGGAGCTCGCACTCGCTGTACATAAGATCGTCACTTGCCGACACTCACTTCAGATTCCAGAGAGCTGGGCCGGGCAAGCGACTGTAAGAATGTTGTTATCGTGGACTGAACTGCGCTTTAGCGGCAGCTAAATATGGAATATGTACGGAGGTGAAACAGTCTAAGACGAACCTGTTCATTTCTGTGGCTTCATACGCCGAGAAAGTGGAAAAAGTAAACATCTGGGTGACCATGCGGCCAACTCTTATCGTCGGAAGTTCGATCATGATGTGATGACGGAATACTCCTGCACACCCTGCAGATCATGAACAGACTCGACCACTACCATTGAGTTACAAGTCCCTCTCGAGCGCCAGGACGCAGAGTGTGCATCAGGTTTTGATGCCGATCCACATCCTCGTTTGGCACCTCGGACTGAGAGCAGACAAGACCGTGAAACAAGCAGCCGAACATGCCCATGAACGGCCTGAGGCGGGAGGTTCGGCTTCGTGACGAAGCCAAGGCCTTCCAAAGTCGAAACTTAATCTTAAACTTCAGGTCATGACATAAGCTCCATGCATCCGCTACCCCTGCAAAAACCAGATTGTCACAGTCGGCGAGCGGATAGCACTGGCCGTATGGGGCCAGGTGGTACGGAACATGAATTCCGCACACTTTCGCGATGCAGCTAGGCGCTTGTTTTTCTCGTTGTTTCTCTATCGTTTCCTCGAAACCCACTCGTTCCCTGGTCTGGTCGTCAAACCTACGTCGGTTGCAGGCGACGGAGGCCCGACGTCACAGCGTCGAGTTTGCCACCCTCATCCCCCCTCCACCGCCCTGCTGCAGCAATGTTACGCAAGGAGCATCAGCAACGGCAGCACGACCAGACATGCGGACTGCCGCTGGCTGCAGGGATTTTCTTTGCCAATGAGTGCAACTATGGCTACTGGCTTCTTCTGGCAGGAAGAAGACAGGTACCATACGTTAGGATTCGGGTCTACACAAGCTTGTGCTGCGTGGCCGTGCTGCAGCATGCAAGAGTACGGCCAGCGCTAAATGATTTGCTGGCTCCCAATTGGAAGTTGAACCATGTTGAACCGCCAGGTATACGTCGCCTTGATGGATCATCCGGTTGCTTCTGGCGCAGGTTTCTGCGCTGCCTGGCATCAGAGCCACGAGAACAAGGAGGACTGCGCAGTACTTGCACAAGTAACGATGCAGTAGAGATCAGTTTGATGGTTTGCACCTCCGCCTCCGACTTGACACCAGTGCCCTCAGCTCCTTCAACTCCAGCTGCCTGGATTCCCTCGCCCGTCTCTTCTGCGACTGCTGCTGCTGCTGCTGCTGCTCCTTCCGCTGCTTTGTCTGCTCCTGCAGCACCCTCTAACTCACCCGTCTCTGTGGCTGGCTGCTTTGCTTCTTCTGCTTTTTGTTGCTCCTGTGCTGGATCTTGCACGGCAGGCTGCTCAACCGATGGTTCAGGTGCATCAGCGGCAGGTGGGCTTTCTCCACTCTCTGTTGGAGAATCCGCAGCTGCCTGCGTCACACCAGAGCCCTCTGTTTCCATGCCCTTACCTGCCTCTCCTGTCGCTGCGGCTGCTGCTGCTGCTGCTTCTCCCTGTGCTTCTTCTGCCGCTGGGGCTGCTGTTGCGGCACCCTCAGCGACGACCTCACCTGTCTCTGCCGACCCTGCAGCGGGCTGTGTCGCGGCTTCTGGGTTCGTCTCTGTCGCTTCCTTTTGCGCGAGGTCGGTTGCTTCTGCTTTTTGTTCCTCCTGTGTTGGATCTTGCGCGGCAGGCTGCTCAACCGATGGTTCAGGTGCATCAGCGGTAACTGGATTTTCTCCACTCTCTGTTGGAGAATCCGCAGCTGCCTGCGTCACACCAGAGCCCTCTGTTTCCATGCCCTTACCTGCCTCTCCTGTCGCTGCTGCTGCTGCTGCTGCTGCTGCTGCTTCTCCCTGTGCTTCTTCTGCCGCTGGGGCTGCTGTTGCGGCACCCTCAGCGACGACCTCACCTGTCTCTGCCGACCCTGCAGCGGGCTGTGTCGCGGCTTCTGGGTTCGTCTCTGTCGCTTGCTTTTGCTCGCGGTCGTCTGTGGCTTGAGCCTGCGGATTTTGCTGCTGAGGTACTGTTGCAAGTGTCGCTGTCGGAGGACCAGCGAATGCTTCTGCATCGCCAGCTTCAGGTTGTGCGTTTTGCACATCCTTCTTGGACTTATCTGCAGCCGCATCCTCGGCGTCTCCTGACCGAGATGGCGCAGAACTCCGAAGCTTGAACCAACACACAGTCGATTTGCTTTCGGTGACGGCTCCTGCAGCTCGCTTCTTGGCATCACTGCCCGCCTGAGCCCGGCGGTGCTCGAGCACTCTGCGCGACTGCCAAGAAGAGCCAGGGCCAGTGCTGTGTTCCGAGTCTTACCAGCTATCCTCGACCTCATCAACGCACCCATCGCAGTCACAGTCTCTGGCCTTGAAGGCGGGCCTTGCATCTTGGCGTCTCGGTGACAGCATGACATTTTGCCTGCCAGAGTTCAAAACCCACGGCAGGCCGAGGCTGCAGACGTCTGCTGTCCGTATTTTTAACTGTTCAAACCTAACTTAGGAAACGAAGCACATTCTCTTGTCTTTATGGTCCGTGTAGGAGCAAGGGCCCATGCACTGACGCCTGGCGCGTGCTGCCGTAGCATCACTGTTATCTTCAGAGCGCTCTTCTCGGGGAGCACCTCGTTGCGACAACGATTCAGCCTGACCCGTCCTACGATCATGGCCATGCAAAGAAAATGCACACAGAGCTAGAAACCAGGTCACAGGCGACGGATGGACGAGCCGACCGGACGTTTCGGTTCGTGTGCCTGCCGGTATCCAACTTTCCAGCTAAAGCATGCTAAAGTCGAACGCGCCATGTATATACGGATAGAACAGAGATCCACACGAGGCTGTCATAAAGCTGCATGCGAAAGAAAAGGCAGCAGGGATACTTCATTCTTACGTAGAGTGTTCGTGCCATAACACCCCAAATCAGCTTCAAGTATCTCGCCGTAGAGTCATGGAACGAGGTTTCCACACAGGCAAGCAATCAGCGAAGTAACAACGTTCTCGTTCCCTGCCTCCGAGGGCTGTGTGGGCTGCGCGGGCAAAGACTCCGCGGGCGGAGGCTGTGTGGGCGTGGAGCCGCTCACCGACCTCCGGCGCAGACATGAGTGAGTCCTAGCGGGAAGAGTAGATGTGCATCTTGGAAAACTGCCGATGCGTAGAACTGAAGCATCTTCGATGTGGCATCTGCTCGCGGGACGAAGTCACAGGCCCTGGCTTAAGGAGATGATCTTGGATTACGTCAGGAGTCATATACCTCGCAAGGTCCGCAAGGATCCGCAAGGCACTTTTCAAGACCAATTCTGGCAACTTGGCTCTTGCCTGTTGACCCGTTCCCGACGTGCAGAGGCCAACTGCTCCTGAAGTTTTGTCTGTCCCACTGCTTTGCCGAAGCCCTTGAAACGTTCGTGCCGGCAGTGCGTCAGTGCCCCCGGCCTGCTCCAGGGCAACCATCTCCTGTCATTCGGAAGACCACTTAGCCGGGCATGCATCAAGGTTTCACTGTACATTGACTTCACGGTTTAGGGGTGTCTAGGGCTTCAGTGTGTCCAAACCCACGGAGCATTGGCATCAAAAAAGAACAGGCTACACGTTCCCGTCAGTCAGAGCCCTGGGCTTGTTTGTCTGCACATGTGGAATCCAAAGACGAAGAGAAGTTGAGGAAATGATTTCGGTGAGCTGAAGGTACAAGTAGACTAGGGGGACTTAGAGTAGGTGGGAGAAGGAAGTACCTTTATTGGAGCAATTTTCAGCGCCTTCTCGGCCTTCTCTCGCCGATGCAGCTCAGCGGCTTTGCGTGCCAGCTCTCTTCGATAGGCCTGGCTTTAAGCGAGCAGCGAGCCTGTGGTGCGCTGCGAGAAACTACTCAGAGTCTGCCTCCACATGCGGTAAGGTCTTCTGAACCCTTTCCATTCGTTCCTTCATGCAGCCGTGTATTCAATACGCCATGTGTCGTCGGCCATGTCTGAAACAATTTTGACAGATCTCTCAAGTCCTTCTCTTCCAGAGTGCGGTTTTCTTCCTCCTCCTTAGCTCTCCTCGCCAGCACAAATGCAAAGCAATGTGGCCCCTCTGTCTTTGAAGATAACCTGACGCACAGTCAATTCTCCACCGCTTTTCATGTCCACACTGAGGCTCCTCTTCTTTTGTCTCATGTGATGCCGAACACGCTGCTGTGCATCTTGCTGAGCCATATGATTTGGAGGCTCCTCCTGTACATGGCATGTCGTGTTTCCTTCAGCCTTCACAGGGCTGCGATCGCAATGAGCCTCGCCGTGGACGGCTCGAACTGGAGAAGGTGACCGTGCCTGGCAGGTCTTGAAAAGCAATGTTTTGCCCTGTGAGGTGTGAGCGGGGGCCAGTCGATGACCTTCTCTCTTCCAGGTCGGACCATCCCTCTGCCGCGCTTGTGCACCTCGGCGGTCCCGGTCCCGATATGCTCCCATCCGTTTGCAGATTCTTTCTCTTCGTCTCCCCTTCTCCTTCCCTCTCGAGGGTCGAGGCCCGTTCTGTCGATTCTACGCCTCTACGCCAAGTCCACGAGTCGGTGCAAGATGGCATGTCATGGCCTGTGAATAACAACAACCCCGTGACCCTCATGATACCGCTTCCGAGCATGTGCATGCACGGCCGAGAGTGCAAAACCTCGAAGCTCGATGTGACACGACAGACAGGGGCCCGCCCGTTCAGAAGTGGGGCCAGCCGGACAGCTCCCGATAAGTCGCATCCGCCTTCTTACATGCGAGGCACTCGAGCTGATGCAGTGCCGAACAAAGAACGGACTGGAACCATCAGTAACGCTTTTTCTCGGCAGCGAGAAACGAATGAGCGGTGCGAGAGTTTGTAATTGTTGACACCGGGGCTTGGTATAGAGGTGTGTGACTCTGTGTGTGTGTGTGTGTGTGCGTGTGGTTCCAGCTGAGCTAAGCCAAGATTGAGACTTCTGGGCTGATGTACACCTCTTGCAAAATTTCCAACCCTGAGCAGCCGAAGAAGGACTTTCCCGGCCATCACAGAATTCGCTACTTCCCTCAGTAGAACCATCTGTTAGCATTCTCGCAGGGGCTCTGCTCCAGGTCCTGTCTATACCCCCTTTACGGAGTCGCACGTCCTTCCTGCTTTGCTTTGGTGTGATTCTGAGCTCGTGCGATTGGCAGGTTCCTTCAGACAAGAAAGATGGCAAAGGACTGTTGCGTCTCACTCCCGCAATCTGCCGCTCATGATTTTCCCTCGCTTTGCTGTGAAGCCTCTCTGTCCCTCAGTCAGCGTGCTGCCCGCAGGACCGCAGTGATGAAATTCTCATGAAAGCGATTCGGCCTCCAGAGACTGGGTGGGCGTGGAACCGTTCTCTGACCTGGAAGCATTTTTGTACAATTTCTGAGCTGTTGTACACCCCCTGCACGAGGCCCGGGCTTCAAGAAGTTCTCCTGGATGACCTCAGGCTTTATATACCTTGCCATCGCGGGAGGTGGCAGGAATGCTCTTGATCGATTGCGGCAACTTGGCCCTTGCCTGTTGACACGTTCCCGACGTGCGGAGTTCAACTGCTCCTGAAGTCTGTCCCACTGCCCCTCAGCAGTTCTTCCCGGCAGGGGTCCATGCCCCAGCCTGCTCCAGGGCAACCAGCTCCTGCCATTCGGAAGAAGACCACTTACCCGTGCAGGCGTCTCATACTATAGATGTTATAGTTTGCTTTCGCTGGCAGCGCGTTGCAGCACGGGGCGCTTTCAAGCCAGAACGAAACAAACATAGATACTTGAGCAGGACGATCACCTTCATCACCGTGCGTGCCACGTTAAACTTCTTGCCAGCCCGGGCTCCTTCTCGGCCTTTTCTCGCCGGTGCAACTCTGCGGCCTTTCGCGCCAGCTCGTGGCGGTAGGCCTGGGAACCGGAGTGCAGCCTCACTTAAGGAGCTCAAACCGTGCGTCTGCCTCCACATGCGGAAGGGTCTTCTGAACGCGGTCCGCACGCTCCTCGTGGACCGATGTGTAGCTCGCCTTGTTCTCTCCAGCAAGCAGGCGCGAGTCCTTCTCCTCCAAAACGCGCATGTCCTCCTCTTCCTTAGCCTTCCTGGTTGAGGCACGCACTGCCCATTCACGTGGAGAACAGCAACGAAAGCACCAGCAAGAGAATAAAACACAGCTGGCCACTCCTCCTCTTTTGCCTCATGTGATGCCGAACTCGCTGCTGCGCATCGTGCTGGGGCATGTAGCTCGGGGGCTCCTCGTGACCCCATTTACGAGACGGCTGCTGAGGTTTGGTGCCGACTTTTGCATTCTTGATGGTGCCTCGTTGTGCACTGCTCTCTGTGGAGAGGGTGACCGCGCCTCGGACTTGAAAGAACAGCAAGTGGTATCAAGGAAAATTAAGCTGGCCCGTGTTGGAGCATTGCCGACCAGGACCAGGAGTCCACACCTCATCCGAATCAAGAGGGCTCCGGGATGCGTGACCGCGGCGCCCCGGAGAGTGCAGCAGTGTCCCTTCAGGGCAGAAGAATTAGATGGGGAGTACACCCAGGCTTCTGCAAGCTTCGGGTAACTCGTGCGGGTGCCTGCAGTGCCCGTGTCTTTGTCCTGGCCTACCTGCGGGAAAGGAGCACGCAACACCTGGATTCACAGCTTGTCTATCCCCTTCTCACATACTCGCTCTCGCTCTCCGACCTGACGCAGCAACCGGAGACGAGGCAGCGAGATCACGGCCTGCAGTTGCAACAGCCGCAAGGCGCCAACATCTGAGCAAAAAACGGCCTCATTGCCGGATGCTTTCGATGGTGGCTCCTTCAAGACTCTGCTGTGTCGAGAAGTGCCCGAATAGGGAACAAAGCTTGACTGGCCGCCAATACACCTCAGGCCCACTTCTACTGCTCCGGTTGATGATACAAATCCTGCATTACCCATCATTAGGAACATACCATAATTCCCACAGTTTAGGGTCCTGAAGTCTGGAGGGTTGTAAGGTAATGCAGGATTTATATCATCAACAGTCCCTCCCTGGTTTGTTCTGGAGTTGTCTTTTTCTCCTCGCAACGACGTACTCTCTGCATGCCGGTTGGCTGGCCAGCGTGTTTCGGCATTGTCAGTGCATGTTGTGACGGGATCACTGGTGTCTTGGCTTGCGGAAACGTCTGTTGATTCATCAAACCGCTCATGTCTGCCAGCGGAAACCCCGTCTCCTGATGAAGCCCTCTGGCGCCATGCAAGTCGAGCTTTGGGAGCATTACCTGGCCAGGGCAAAGCAGGTTGCCTGCTCAAAAGAGCATCTGCCGTGATTTGCTGTGATCTTCGCTCTGAGAAGACTGCTCGAACTCAGCAGGAGCCGGGAAACATGCTGAAGTTAAGTTACTGCGATCGTGACTGGCCTAGAACATACTACTCACAAATGCGAGTCCTATCGCCATGCAGCATTTTTGTCTGGAGCTGGCGTAGTGAATGATGCTCTCTAGGTCTCGTGGCTGTGAAGCTGTCTGCTGAGCAGGAGGCATGCTGCATCTATCTGACTGCGCTCTTTGAGCGACTGCATTTAAGCCGTGTGGCAGACTGGTGCAGCAACATGGATCAGGGTGGCCACGAAATGTTCAGGCATGTCCAGGCTTCAGACGGTCTATGCAAGGTCCATTTTTTTCTTCTTGCGGCTGCGTGCTTTGCAACATGTCAGACACAGCAGCCCTGTTGGCCACAGAACTCACTAACGAGTTACAGCGGCCCTTTGGGAACATAACCCTTTGCGATGGTTGCGACAACATATTTTGATGGATCCCTAAGCGTTGTGTGCTTCTCTGCGACAGATTCCAAGAGCTGAGAGGCATGCGAAGACGGAATCGTGAGAAGCGCTTTCACTGCTTCATCTGAAAGCTGAAGCCCTATTGACTCAGCTTTTAACATTCCAGGTGACTTGATAAGCTCCGCAGCAGCAGCCTCTGCCTCTGCAGCAGATAACTCCTTGGGTAAAAACTGGGCCTCGCTCGGCGGGCCGAAGGAGCCATAGCCGGGACCAAAGCCGGGCCCGCATCCTCCGTATCCCATAGCAGGCGGGTGCTGATGTGTGGTGTCGCCATTCGGGTGCCAGCCGGCATTGGCATAGAATCTTCTCGCGTCTCCTGGGCCAGCTCCTATGTGATCTGGAACTCCAGGCACTGGAGGTCCACCCATGCCGACATGCTCATGCCTGCAGTGGTCGCCGTACTTGCACCAGCCTGACTTAGCAAAAAACTGGCAAACCTCCCCGGACTTCGCCGTCGGTTGCGGCTGCAGTTGTGGCTGCATGTCTGGCGAAAGCGCATGTGCATAGCGACAGGCGTCCCCATATTTACACCATCCGGCCTTTGCAAAGAACTGGCAAGCTTCGCTGGGATCTTTCGGCCCGAGGCCGTGCTGAACCTCGCCTTTGCCGCCCATTTGTGGGCCAGCGAGGTGTTGATACCTGCAGCTGTCGCCAAACTGGCACCAGCCGGCCTTGGCAAAGAATTTGCAGGCTTCCGATGGATCTGGCGGACCACCCGGCCGACCTCCCTGTGGAGTATCAGGTCCCGGGATGTGGGCGTGTCTGCATCCATCACCCCATTTGCACCAGCCTGTCTTGACAAAGAACTGGCAAACCTCGCCCGTCTCTGCACCGGAAGACAAGGCTCCACCAGCATATGGCTCTGATCTCACATTGCTGAATCTCCCTGGCAATGGGCCAAATGACATCTCAGCAGGAGGGCCGAGCTTGTCGCTAGACTCGCCTGCTGACCTTCTACATGTCTCGAGCCGTCGTTTCTACTGCAAATGCCGGATCTTGCTGTGAAGGACGGCGTTTGCACTTTCGGGTGCGAGGGCAGTGAGTCTACGTTTGTTGCTCAGCTACATCCGGCTTGACTACGTCGCTTCTTCCCGTTTATGCAATCTCCGGTCCCGGAACTTCAGATGGTCACTCTCCTGACCACCACTGCTTGCATTGTCTGAGCCCAAGAGTCATGATGTCATGCACAAAGCGCCTTCAGCAACTTCGCAACGCATTATCGTGCACACCGCTTTCCCTGTTTTGCTCTCGTTGCTTAGCGAAGCGATCCGAGCATGTCGGTAAGGCCGCGGAGACTGGAAGATCCAGAGATGCCCTGCAAACAAAGATGGTCTGGATCTGTCTGCTGCACGACACGTGAGGAGCCTTCAAAAGTGCGCTGGTCTTCCTGTCGGCATCAGCCTCGCTGCCGGTGCACTCGCCACATTGACACATTCATCGGCTGCCTAAGTGCTTGCCTCAAGGGTCTTCTTGTTCCAGCCAGGGCCCAAAGCCTTCGAGAGTCCGTCTGCTGCTTCCTGACCGTGTTCGATTTCGACCGCGCACGCTGACGCGATCGCTGCCAAAGAAAGGCTCTTTGCCTGCATGTACGGATCGTCGTCGTCCATGTCCATGCTTCCGCTGCTCGCACTGAACAAGGATTCTCAAGCACTCGACTGCAATGTACAGCTGGCCACGCAGGCCCTAAAGTAGTGTCTCTGGGGTATGACAGTGCTCTGACATGCTTTCTGGCCTTGGCTTCTGAGACTCCTTTGATGGCGCCGACCCGCTGTCGTGCGTCATCATTGTTCGCATTTGCTCATGTAGGTAGGCCTGGCAGGGAAAAGCTTGGGATGAGCGATGTGGGCATAGCTAGCTTCCCTGAAAAGTGCCTCGTTGAAGTGTGGCCGGGTGACCCCGTGTGCCTCGGGAAGTGTCATTCCACAATATAATGTGAATAGGTGTAGATGTTGTGGCTGCATATTCAAGAACATACATACATCTACAGACTTATACACATAACTTAGTAGTGCTATACACGTACATTGCAGAGAGAGTGGCTGAGTGCGAGAGAGATCGAGAGACATATACACGCAGCCGACTAGCGTATCACAGAGAGAGTGTGATCGTGTGTGCATGTGTGTGTGCATGCAGGAGAACCTGCGCGTGGGTGTGGGTGTCGGTCGCCCGCAAATCCGGTAACCAGAGTGGTTGAATCGGTGACCAGAGCGGCAGAATTGGAAACCAGGACGGCTGAGTCGGAAACCAGAACGGCATAGAACGGCTGATTTCGAAACCAGCAGGGTGATTCGGAAGACAGAACGGCTGATTCGGAAATCAGACGGGGGTGATTCGGAAACCAAGAACGGCTGATTCGGAAAGCACCGGTAGCATAGACTCAGGCGTTATCAACGGTTTTTCGGAAGTTTCCCGCGCACAGTTTCTGATGTCCGGTTTCCGATGCGCGCCAGTTCCGATGTGCAGTTTCTGATGCGCAGCTAGTTTCTGATTCAAGGGCCTGATGCTGATTTTTCAGTTGTTATCAGTTGCTCCTGGGTGTGGGTAAGTTGGTGTGTGACATTCTGGACCAAGGATTCAAAATAACAAACGGGTGCCAGGGGACTGCAGAAGACTGGAAATGACTGGAACCAACGAAGACCTTTTCTGCTTTCCTGTGATATCAACTTGAGACATGACATGCAAGATGCAAAGTCGCAAAGCCCAAAACCTCAAATCGTAAGGAGGAAGATTGTAGTTTTGACATGCTACCCGATGAATAGCTTCGGCTATCTCGAGGGTCGATTTCAACGGCGGTTTGAGTGGGGTGGGGGTTGGTGAGGATGGGTTGGAGGTGGGAGTGGGTGGGCGTGGGTGCGCGCGTGGGTGGCAGGGAAGGTCGGTGCATCAAACACATGCTGGCGTGAGAAGCCGGGCGCGTGCCTGTAGACAGTCGGGCAGCATTCCTCGTGTCCTAGTGAAGAGACCGATCAAGAAGGTCTGCCTGTGCACCAGCGAGGCATCGAGTGCGTGCATCTGTCCGTGCAGGTTGGTTCTGTATTCCGTACACACTGCTGTGCTTTGGTGGGTGAACAGAGCTGAGAGCAAGTAAGGTAAGTCCAGCGCTGCACCCAGCAGCGCAAGCAGACCGACAACCCGGCCGAACATGATGCCTGCTTGCGAAAGTGGACTGCTTGCATCAGCCCAGAGTTCATTACATCATGCTTTGATACAGAGTAGCGTGTTGCTGACTCCATCGTCTTTCGCGGTGCCGCCTGCCAGGAGCACCGCCGGGTGCCTCTTCGTTCCACTGATGTCTTGAGCCAATGCGTAAGCGAGCCCGCACCGGAACACAAAGTCGTACCAACTTCCCATGTTGTTTGAAAATGTCACTTCGTCTTTCGTAGTACATGGATGCGATTAGAGGTGGATGCTTTAGGTGAGGGCACGAGGCGCTTCTTCTCACGGCTGCAACCTCTGCCGAAAGACCGTGCTTATTGGTGTGCTGCAGCTGCTACTTTCTTCTGCTTAGTCTTGCTCTTACTCTTTCTCCTACTCGGGCTCTCACTCCGACTCCCACTCCATTTCCGACGACGATTACTACTACTACTACTACTACTACTACTACTACTACTACTAAGTACTACTACTACTACTACTACTTCTACTTCTACTTCTACTTCTACTTCTACTTCTACTCCTACTACTCCTCCACCTACTCCCACACCTACTCCCACACCTACTCCTACTCCTACTGCCACTGCTGCTACTGTTACTGCTCCGGCTTCTGCTCCTGTTCCTCCTGCTGCTACTTGTGCTCCTACTACGACCAACAGTAATCATAATCCCAATAACCATTCGGAGGACACAATGAACATAATACTGAAACAATGCTAATTGACTAATCATTTAAGGTACCAGCGCTACGGAAACTAAGTTCATTTTTGTCGAGTTTCATCGACACCAACCTATCCCAGAAGTGAATTAGATTGAACCAGCGCTTGGCAAACTCGCAGCGGGTGGAAGAGTGTGGACGGAGCATACCTGGGCCTCTCAGCTGTTGCCGAACACATAGAAAGCTCGTGTTGTCTAGCCCTTTCGCGATCCAGCAGACGAGTTCTCGTGAAATCACTGCGGGTTTCTGGGTAGAGATTGCGGACAGCTACACTAAATGTGGTCACTTTTTGCCAACACTGGCAACATGATCAACTCGGACAGCAGCAGCAGCAGCAACCCGCACCACATGGCACAGTAATCCGCAAGACCGCAAGACCGTGGACCATAGCAATACCGAATCACTGTCGTTCGTCATAATGCGACGAAAATGAGCCAAGTCGCTTCTGTCCTGCGCATAGACTGCCAACCAAGTCTCCCAATTTCCTTGCCCACCCCGAACCGCAAGAATCTTAATCTCGCGCAGAACAAGACCTTGAACAAGGCGCACGCCTGTACAGATAACATCAGTCTACAATATCCGAAGTGGCCCCATACACCATGTACATCCGGAACTCCTCAAAATCATTTAAACCGCAGGAGACACCCGTGCAGCAACCCGGTGAACTCCAACAAGAAGCCACCCACATGTGCCGGGCTTCTTGCTTCGTGGGCTTATTCTTTCGTGTAACTCGGGATGAGGGGGCGGTAACTGTGGGATGGGAGAAGCAATCTGTTTTGTCCATCGTTCGCATGCACTGTCGGTGCGGTCGAGATCGCTCGGCTCCGGAGTTCGAACTTGACAGCGACAGCATGCCGCGATCTTCGTCTGCGCGAGTTCCGAATGCTGAGTGCACTTGTTCGATGTTGTCCGTTTCGTAGACCGGCCAGGCGCTGCCGCAACACGACAGGTCGCCAGCTGCGCAGGAGACTGGAAGGACGGATCGCCTCCAGAAACTAGCTTCCCCATGCCTGCACAGCATCCATCCACTCCTGTCGCGAGGCTCTGAGACTCAACAAAGCTGATGCACCGTGTGGTCGTGACACTTGAATCAACATGACATGCTCCTTGGTGGTATCGTGGTTGCGGCCATGACCTGAGGGCACGGGCTGGAGGAACGCCCAAACCCTCTGCGACAACAGTTGCAACGACAAGCATCTTCGTTGCACAAACAACAATGTTGCTAACACAGCCCTGTGACAGATCAGAGAGCATCTGAGCCCCAGCCGAGCAAATCGCGGTGCGGTGTCTATATCGCCCAGCTCCAGGGCAGAATCGTAACCAAACTGGCAAGCCTCCAGCTTGTAGCTTTTCCTCGCAACTTGTGCCGGGTAAAAGCGAGAAATGCTGCTCTGTGCTCTTGTACAGCATTCTTAACTTGACAGGACAAGCCTCATTGCAAAATCCTCCTCCTTATAGAGCTTGAGCAGCTTCTTGGCTATACGCAGCTTCCTTGCCGAGCTTCTGCTTGAGTACAGAAGTGCAGAGAGTTCTCCCATCCGAAGTCTTCTCTTGTCACTCGCAGAATGCAATCGCGTGGAACATTTGTTGCAGCTGCAGCGAAACTGCCAGTTGTCCCGCAACATCTGCTGCCGCACTTGTCGAGGCTCTCGAATGTCAATATAAGAAATGCATAGCTCCTCGCCCTCACTAATGGCTGTCTGCGCATAAATCTCCATTTGCTGGTCACGCTCGTTCCAACTATAGTCGCAGTTTGCATTACAAGAGTGGTTTAGGCGACTCAAGTTCACGCAGACTGCCTTTGTGTTGGAGCTGCTACCTGTTGTTTCACACTCTATGCCATTTGTCTCGATAATGCCACGGAGTGTCTTGCGACCCCTGGAAGACCACGCGTCTTCCAAACTCATGATCTCCTCTTTCTCTGTTGAGGGCATCCGTTGAAAGTCTTCCTTCACCTTCTGCATGCTCTGGCTGGAGTCTGTCTCGAATGTCAGCTGAGGTGTCTCAGCAAATACCAAATCACCAGCCTCTAGGTTGAGCTTTGCAATGACACCGAGGCCCTTACCATCGACCTCCTCGATGCAATACCTGGACACGGACATGAGCTTTCGTGCTGTTATGTCGCCAAGCAAGCCACCGGAAGGAATCCCCGGCCTTCGTTCTTCTCCCAGCTCTGTCGCTCTGGGTCCAGCACTCAGTAGATGCTTTCTGCCAGATCTCCTTGTGACGAGGAGGCCTTCTGCAGCGCATGGAGGAGAGTTTTGCAATTTCGCATGGGCGACACATCTACAACCTACAGCACGTTTCTGCCTGGTACCGTCAACGCTATATGCCAGCAACCAGGCCAGCCACGCTTGCAAAGGACAGCAGGTGCAGGTCGAACGCCGGATGCGAAGTTACACCGTGTCGTTGCGGAGAGCAAGGGTTGCTTGACCGTGCCATCTATCATTCGGCACAAGGAGAAAGGTCACCCGACTTGGTCTACAGTCCAGTTTCTAAGCCACCAGAGCGACAAAGTCTGCAATTGGACAGTTGAAATTTGATGTTCTTCTTCGACTGACTCAAACGTCGAGACGCAATGACTCACATGCAGGGAGAGTGTATGTTGAGTTGTTAAATCAGAGTTCCACAGCTTGCACATGCGGCTTTTCTGGCTGATGCAAAAGACTTTGGCTCTGCATTGAACTTCCTGCAGAAGATGCAAGAGCCAGGGAGCTAGGGCAGTCAGGCTGACCCTTGCTGGGACACACGACTGAGCGACTGCAATGCCGCTGTCAGAGGTCAGAGGGACAAATGAGCCACACAGAGTTAGTGGCAGTGTCGAGTTGAAGAACGATTACTCCTATTATCATCTACCACGTCGATTAACCTCCGCTGCATGCCTGCACAGCTGCATGAGGTCTTCCTGGCATGTGGGCACGTGCCCACACACGCGGTATCTTGCGTGCAGCTACATGCCAGCACGCAGACGCATTGGAAATGACGGCGCAGTGAAACAGGGCCAAGCTGTCCGTTAAGAGCTTCCTCGGCACCACCAGCCTGCCGGACGGAGAGATAAGCTCTAGCTTGCACGCTTTAGACTTGAGTGTCACGCAGGTGGGCGATGGTGTGTCGTGTTGTGCCGAACTTACAGCATGTTGTAGACACTACAGAAGCATGTGTTAGATCCCTGACAGCTTCCAATCGCATTCAGGTTTGAAGGTGGAGTCTTTCGGCTTCGCAATCTTCCGCCCGGCCTATGCAGCCTTCGCTGCAGCAGGCTGGCTTGGAAATCCTCGTCTTGCCCAGAAGTCTTTCTTCCAGTCCCAGGATGTTCCGTGCAAATCATCCAGCCATCCCATGGCGCCATAATTCACGTTGAACTTTTCCTGTCTTCATTCGTCAACACAGTTCTCGGAAACTCACAATCCCAAGCATGCGAATTCCCTAAGTGCAGGCGAACTGCGTGATGAAAATCGTGGTAGTTCGGCTGCGCCTCAGCCTGGCGTGAGACGCTCGAGATCAAGGACATCATATGGGCTCCAGTACACAGGACGGCAGTACGTTCAAAGAGAAGAAGTCTATCCATGGCCATCTAATGCCGCAGTGGTGTGTCTGCGTCGCCATGACTGCGAAGGCCATCCAAACCACCTCAACCCGCAAACGCTACTGTAGGGTGTCCACTTGATGAGAGGCTCACCAACAAACGACACAGGCTCTGAGTGCAAAACACCGGTGAAGGCATTGGTCCGAATTGCAGCTAGACCCGCTCCAAGCGGCCTGGAGCTACACGAGCTACACCGAAATGGCCTTACGGTCTCGAGTGCCTAGAGCCCTGCACTGAGATCGTGACATTAGATCTGAAACAAAGAATTCCAAGGGATGGCAGTAGATCGCAGCCAATCCCATTGGCGCCTCGCCGGCAAAACTCCATCACCGATTCAGCAGACACCACAGCAAAGTCCCTACGGAGTCCCTACGTATATCCTATGTGCCTCAGCTCAAATTAAGCCGCCGTTCCGTCATGGCATTGTGCAAAGCACAAGACGGGGCTGTTAGATCCTCCAGGCAAGCTACTAGTAGGGGGAATGACGTGATGAAGCGCTGAGCCAGCAACTGGCGGCAACAGAAAACAACAGTAGTCGTAAACGGGGCCATATCACCGTACAGACAGCCTGAATGTAAACAGTCAACGTTTTGGGACAACGATGAACCCAAACATTCTGAGGTTTTTGTGCCCTACATGCTCTTGCTTTCCAGGAAAGCAAGAAAACCAGCCAGCCTTGAATTCATGGTGTATCTTGTGGATATGCCTGCAGGATGCAATCAATTAGGCGCTGAAGACGATGCTGCCCCTGCATCTCAGCTGGTGTGTCGGGAATCATGCATTGCAAGTCTGTGGGTCTGTACGCGTGTAGGAGCCTGAATAGCCTGCAGATGACACAAGTTTCAGACTGGCGCACCTGTACAAGAACTTGTTGGCATGCATTAGCCAGTGGCCATAGAAGAACAGTACCTGTCAACGGAAACTCGAGGTCAAATGGGACCGGTGCGATCACGTATGAACAGAAGCCGTCAGCGCCTCGTTCACAATAACACCAAATCCTGGCAACGATGGTACTGTAAGATCGCAGTTGGACATTCAGCGAGCGGACATTTCTTTGGGCCTATGTGAACAAACATCTCCCATGGCCCTGGTAGAACGGATGGCATTCCTCAAGTGGAACGCGGAAGCAAAAGTCGAGATCTTTCAGGCTTCGTCGGCTTGCTAGCTGCCACTTGTCCAGCAGTGATACGGAGGGGGTTAGGGCCAATCTTCTAGGCCGTCACGTCCCGGCAGACCAATGGCAGAAACCCAAGTGTACAAACTATGGTTGCGATGAAGCTGCGTAGTCGCTGCCAAACAGGGATCAAGGCCGCCAACAGCAACGGCAACACCTTTCAGTTCAAGACATTCCAGTCAGAGCGATTTGCATCAGCATTGCACCTCCCCTCAGTGCGGACCTTCCCTCTTGTAGCCAGACCCCATGAACTATTGCAGCGACAGGCGCAACGAAGCTCGTCCTTGCCAAGTTTTGCCTCACGGAGCACGAGCAGGACAACTGTAGCCGACTGGGAGCATTTACTGGACTTGCAACGAGGCTCCAGAGAGCCGACATTGTCGGTCTGCTTGATGACCTGCCATAATATGACTTCCAGAGGCAACGGAGACGGCCAACCTCTCCAATTGGCCGGAGACACTTCAACGTCTGGATGCGATAGTCCCCCACCAACTGCGGGAACAGCTTTTCCACCTTGCTTAGGAATGAAGCGTTGCCGAGGTGATCTGGTCATTCATTGCCAGTCTCAGCTTCACACTGCGAGCAGGAGCGTTCCATTCGCGAAATAAGTCACCACGAACATCGCCTGGTTTCAGTCGCGTGAGAAGGCGGATTTGCTTCGTCTCTAGGGCATCTCGATACAAGGCGGTTTCCATGACAAAACAAGAACTCTCTGTTGACGATGGTTGAAGGTTTGACGTGTCTGAGTGTCTCGATTTTTTGGGTCCAAGACCCATCGCCACCTTCTGTTGAGGATCCTGAACATCTAAAACGTTTCTGATCCCAGCTGCATCCATGGACCTGTTAATGTAAGTTCACTGATTGAACTCAACGAAAGGTAGATTCCGTACCAGCACCTGATGTTGTCGGGCCGGATTCCAGGAGCAAAAGGTGAGAACCTGCGAGCCCCTGGTGCATCCCTCTAGCCATGAGAACCCAACACTGTAACACGACCTCTGCCGAACATGTCTTCCTGCTATAGGCTGCAAGGTGTTATGCTCTGAAGTGCATCTGGCTGTTGCCTGTAAAGACAGCAGGTGTGCCGCATGGACGTGACGATGATGAGAGGGGTGACACATCGCATGTGAAGACAAGCTCAGTGCATCGCCCATAGGGCCAAGGCGACTGTTACGCCTTGTCCGGTGGGATCTACCTGATCCCGTCTCAACGGAGCATAATGCACACTCAGTAGGCATACTTGCCGCCTAGAATGCTCAGGCGCCAGCGCTGGGTATCGCCTCAGCCGCAGAGCGAGCAAAGGAGGCGCTGCTTGCAGCAGCTGCCCGAGCTTCGGACCAGCTTGGGCATGAATTCTATGACAGCCAGCCTTTGAGAAGCGCTTCTGTGATTCAACTTGAGTGCCTGGCAAATGGCAGCCGGGGTGCCAGAGGCTCTCTGGTGGTGACCAGACCATGATGGCGGAAAGCAGGATGACGAGCGGGCTGGGCTCCGGGGCCTTCGACCGCAGCACGGGCTCGCAGAACCAGATGCGAAAGGCACCGGCCTTGCTTAGCAGCACCAGCAACATCAGCTTGGCGAACCAGCTTCCTTCCACAGCCTGGAAACTGAAAAGCACGGCATGTGGCGCGCCACTGCCTCTTTGGGCAGCCGGGGCCTCGTGCACGGGCATCAGGAGCTCCTTGATGCGGCCCTCCATAAGGATGACGCAGAACAGGCTCCCGAGCACGGTGCTGGCCGCAGCGACATTGAAGCCAAAGCTCCTGCAAAGCTGCGCCGCTCGTCTCTCGGCTTGCAATGCCTGGCAAGCATCCAGCAAGAATAGGCCTCCCCATCGGCAGATCCACGCGATCCACGAATCGGGGCTTTAATCACAACACTGAGCCGAATTGCAAAGCCGACACACTCCACAACCCCCTCGAACCACAGCAGGACAGAGCGAAAGGGCTTGCCATGCCGTATGCGATGCAAATTTGTAGAGTCATTGTAGTCCACACATACCTCAAAAGACAGGTGGTTGCGGGGCAGGCTGATAGTAAGTCTATATCAAGACATTGCTCGGCACGAAGGGCGAGGATGGGAGCTATGCTCGCGGTCGTGGACTTCTTGACTGCTGCTCACGGCTTTGCAATCGTAACGCAAGGCCCAAGCGCAGGTATTCTGCAGTTGGAACCCAGTGTTGCGGTGAGACATTCAGAGCGAAGTCAAAGCTTCTGCGAGCTGCCTGCCCATGTGCGAGACCAAGATTGCAAGAGGTTCGCGTTGGACAGATCTTGTCAAGTTCGGCTGCCACACCAGATCATCGACAGTGTCTGTTTTGCGCCAAGGCGTCGCGTCAAAAAGTGTGCGATGTTGATTCTTGTGCGCAGAATCTTCTTCAAGAAACTGCAAGCAAACTTAAAGTAAGCTGGAAGGAGCCGGATCACCATCCGATCACGAACTGTCCCCATCCGATCACGAACTGTCCCTTGTGTTCACCTCTGTGCGCCTGCACCTGACTCCTTTGCATGTGAGTATTAGTATGTGTGTGTACCACTTGTCTATCTACATACACTCTGCCTACAATTATACTTGCGTACGCAGCAAGACATGCCCACATCTGCATGAGACAGTCAAGTATCTGAATCAACTGAGAGACGAAGGAAGATGCACGGCTCAACAGAACGAGACGTGCCGAGCTTGAAATCAACAGACATTTTCATGCTTTATTGCATATATGGTCACAGTAAACAGTTACACACAGGCATACCTTTACAGATCGAAAGGTACGCATGTCAGATCAACAAAATGGAATGGAGCACAATGGCGGATGGGACCCTAGGACCAACACGCGACACGAGCAGATTAGAAAGAGTGACCTTGTAGTACATTGGGCAAGCAGGTATATCCACAGCCCGCGGTTCTGGAGTCTTCGCTACCGATTGCAACAAAGTTCACATAAGTTTACGGCAGCTCATGTGCTGCATTCATATCAGGAGTCAGGAGTCAGTCAGGAGTGTGCAGTTGCGTGGAACAGATTGGGATCCAGCACAGCTTCATTAGCTAATGCGACATAGAGTCCATAGAGAGAGAAGTGGAGCACTGTCGAGATCCCCAGCTGTTGCAGAGGAAGCTGCCTTGCATGACATCATCGCATCTTCAGCGAAAAGTCTGAATCTGTTGGCATGTATACAGTGTGCACTGTATACGGCTAATGTATTCGGTGTGCAGGACAGACAACTTTTGCCTGGAAACCAGGGTTCAGCGAAAGCAAAGCGTCTTACCCTGGCTGCTCAAAGAGTTGCCACTCTTTGCCAACATGTGGCCCTCGTGCATTCAGATGGGCCGGGCGGCCCTCAGTCCGGTGTCCGGAGTGGCTCACCCCGCAGCTGCTGACACAGGCCCTTCTCTGCCATCTCACACCTTGTCGCCAAGTGCGACAAACATGAGACTCGGCTTCAATATTTCTGCGCCACCCTGCAGGTCTACCGCAGTTGGACTCAGCTGAACCCGAACCCTGCAAACGTCCCAGGACTTTCAACGGATGTGGCCTGAAGAAAACTAATGCCAGCAAGTATGAACTACACAACTCCTGTTTTGTCAATCGAGCGGCACCTTCAGTGCAGCTACACATGCAGCCCGGCGCAATGCGTCACGAGCAGGCAAGTCCACCTTGAGACCCTTCGAATTTTTGCAGTCAAAAGTTGCATAGTCGAACGAAGCCTATAAAGCTAAAGCGAAGCATGTTTCGCGGCATCTACACAACAAGTCGCCTTCGCAGCTTTAGCCGCCACATGCTCACCGAGTCTGTACCCTTTAAAGCATCTGTTGACTTGACCTGCCATAGCCTGCAACATGTGCATGTAAACACGTCATCTCCGCCGGTTGCTTTCTTCCCACCCTGCGCCTTTCTAAGCAGCCTTCGCTGCCGTGGGCCTGCTGGGAAGGCTTCTCCTTCCCACGAAGTCCTCAAGGCCACGCAGATAAGACAAGTTGTGCTATGGTCCGTTCAGCATTCAGCATCCGTATCTGGTTCATGTGTCTGACCGGCCCAGAATCCTTCTTCCAGTCCCAAGAAGTGCCGTGCAACTCATCCAACCAGCCCATGGCTCCGTAGTTCACATTGAACTTCTCCTAAGAACACAACAGACATCTCACTTGTAGTTATAGAAAGGAATGGCCACAAGAGCCAGCGCTTGCATGCTGTGCGTGCAGCCGAGACGCATGATGAAAGTCATGAAAGTTCGGCTGCGCCTCGGCCTCACCACGCACTGAATGCTCGTTGGAAAGGCTCTGTAAACTGTAAATGTTACAAACCAGATCGCACCTGAAAGGAGAAGAAGTCTATCCAAGGCCACCGGATGCCACAGTGGTGTGTCTGCGTTGCCATAACTGCAAATGCCATCCACACCACCTTGGGCACCCCGCTGCAAACGTCCACACTCTGAGGTCTGCCACACGTGAAAACCCTCAGGACTTCACACCAGTGAAAGCGTTCGTCCGTACTGCAACGAGGCCGGCTCCAAGCGGCCTAGGCACGAACCCTTGCCGGCCCATCTTTCACCACCATCACCACAATTCGCATACATGCTCTTGCTTTGTCGTGGCTATCCAACCTACGTCCCACACATCAGATCCGCTGCGAAGAACTCGACTGGGTGGCAATAGATCGCTGCTAGGCCCATGGGAGCCTCGCGACTCGACTTCTCGATACTGGAAAATCTATTTTCTGTCATGTGCTTGGTTATGTCAGTAGCACGCTGCACAATCGCAAACAGTCCAACGATGTCTGGCAAAGCCGCGCAGGCCTTAAACTCGTGGTGGATCTTGTGGATGTGCCTCACAACATGGACAGTCTTGCTCTGCCATGTCACGGATGAACATGGCGCACTTATACAAGAACTTGTTGGCATGGAAGAGCCAGTGCCCATAGAAGAAGAGAACCTGCCCCAGCTGATGTGGTTCACTCGTTTTGGGCGGCAAGAAGAAGGAGCTCTCGCTGCACCCTGTCCATGCCTATACACTAGTTACAAGGTCCCCTTCTGCTCTCGACGCCTGCGAGGGTTACGGGGGTCTCCTGCTTTTTGCGTCAAACCAGGGGAATTGCGATTTGCTGGTCCTGTTGAGAACAAGCCGAGACAGACGGCACGTGGCAGTGCCGAAAGAAATGCGCAACAACGAAAACATGAAAGTAAAAGTGAAAAACAGGAAGCAAGGAAGCAGGTAAAGGCAAACAAGCCAAAGGTAAGAGACAGAGAAATAAGCGGGAAAGCACAAAGAACGACAAAAGAGCACGGGAAGCCAGAAGGCTGAGGGAGCAGGGGGACTCCGTCTGGTCCACAGCCTCAAGAAACTCTGCCCTGCTTTGCAAAAAGCATGGGCTGAGTGCTTCGATGCTGTGCCTCGTTCACGATGACGCCGAATCCTGAACAGACATGGAAGCAAAGTCGGCCGACTCTGCTTGCCTCGACGAAGAGTGAAGCGCCTATGTGAGTGAACATCTCCCACGGACCCGGCAAGGCCGTGGTCACTCCTCGGACTCTGAAGGCCACGCTGTGTTGCAAGCTGCGCCAGCAGTCAGGTACCAAGTGCTTGCTTAGGATACTTTTACTGTCTAACTGCCTCCTTTTTCGCATCCGGCCAGCATAAATGCATTTGATTCCCCTATGATGTTGAGAGCTGAGGCCAAGCTTCGCAAGCGCTGCCAGCAAGGCGTCAACAAAGCCAATAGTACAGGCAGTACCTCAGAACTGTTCAATGTCAAAGAGGTGCAGGCTGTGGCAGTGTCGACATGAGCTCTGTCGACCCGGGCACCACGAAGCTCGTCATAGCGAGGTTCTTCCTCGGATGAGCGCGGTGTGGCTCCCGAGTCAAGCGATGTCCAAAGCAGCAGAGGCCGCTGCCACAGCACGGACATTGGCGGCCTGCTGGATGACCTGCCGCACACAAATCCCTGCGGGCAGACTGAAAGCTTGCGACGCAAATTTCCCCCGCTTCAGCATCTGGATGCGATAGTTCTCAACCAAGCGTGGGCACAAAGTCTCAACCTTCAAGAGCTGTGATTTTTGCACGAGGAAGGCCATAAAGGGCTTCTGGGGATTGCGCCGCAAGCAGCAGGAGACCGTTGGTGAAGTAAGTCAATACAAACATCGCCTCACTGCAATCTGCTAACCAACCTAAACACATCTTGAATGATACCACATACCAGGTGGCTCCCGCTGAAATATAAGACTCTTGGATAACCCTGCAAAAGCTTACTTACGGAGACTTGCACTCCTCAGCATCCGCTCCGTTCTTGTGTTGACGATGCAACAGAGCCTCTGAGAATCTCGCCCACAGCGCCACTGCCACTGTAACACCCTGCCCGGTGGGATCCACCTGGTACCCAGATGCACGCAGAACTTGCGAGCAACACAGTCACCTCCAGTCTCGAACTATGATCTTGCATTCCGGGATGAAACGAGACGGCAGCCTGGGGAATCGCCTGGCAGCATCACCAGTTTCAGCAGGATGGTTGGTGCAAACTCGTCTAGTGAGACATGGACCAGCTTTGGCATACTTTCCACGATGTACATCCTTGGCTGCAAAGCTCGCATGCAGTCAGCGGGTAGGTCAGGCCCTGATGAGGTGACGAGGTGCCAGAGGCTCTCTGGTGGTGACCAGACCATGATGGCGGAAAGCAGGATGACGAGCGGGCTGGGCTCCGGGGCCTTCGACCGCAGCACGGGTCCGCAGCACCAGATGCGAAAGGCACCGGCCTTGCTTAGCAGCACCAGCAACATCAGCTTGGCGAACCAGCTTCCTTCCACAGCCTGCAAACTGAAAAGCACGGCATGTGGCGCCACTGCCTCTTTGGGCAGCCGGGGCCTCGTGCACGGGCATCAGGAGCTCCTTGATGCGGCCCTCCATAAGGATGACGCAGAACAGGCTCCCGAGCACGGTGCTGGCCGCAGCGACATTGAAGCCAAAGCTCCTGCAATCGAACCACTGCACAACTTCTGCCCCTGATGCTTTGGCCGGCGTGATCAGCTGCTGGCTGTCCTTCCCATCGAAGGAAATGGAAAACGGTGCTACGTGGGGACTGTCTAGGCCAACGGGCTGTTATTAAGATTTTGGGCCGTGATGAGACCGACGGAGAAGTGATCAAGTGTTGTCAAACCCATCAAAACATCGCGCGCTGCACCCTGAGCTTCGAGCCTGGCACTTAGATCCTTGGCATCTGGGCCCCTGCCAGTCAAAGGCGCGCGCACAGCTTGGGCAGCACACCGTGCTCACATCCCCGACCCTTTCGCTCTCCGAGCTTCAGAACACCTACATGGGACATGTGCGACATGTGCCTCTTTCGTCGCGCAGTGAATACGATTGTTCCTGGGAGCTTGTCAGCTCTCTCTGCTGAATGAAGTGTCGTCGAAACCCCCGGCCTCGCTTCCAGCAGAAACCGCACATGTGGGCCGCTGGCTCCACCACGAGCTTTTCTGGCCTTGTCAGAAACACAAGAACCGCGATTGCTTTGACAGATGTCTGGCATTTGAGTCCGGTCTTAGCACGGTTGTCCCAAAACTGCTACTGTTGGAATACAAAAACCAAGCTTCAGATCTCGCTCGCATTCCATTCAGGTCAGGTGGCCTTCTTGACTACTCGGGATCCCTGTGACGGTGTGCACAAAGTTGAGCTTAAAAAAGCGCATTCGGCTGATCAGGACTATGACGCTTCCTTGCGCCGCTGACAGTGTGTCCTTGCAAACCCATGCGTCGTACGTGTACTCCCATAAGCTTCTTCTCACGGATGCCGAGCAGCACGTGGCTGAATGTGTTTGTTTCACAAAGGAATCATACGCTTATTTGTAGGACAGTTAGGAGAGGTTGCTGACCGAGCTGGAACTGGCATACAAGCAAAGTGTGAGCCCCAGGCTGTTTGCACCTCTGGTTGGACAGCTGTGGCCTCAATGATAGATAAAGGTGCACAGAGATGATTTCTCGCGGTGATGCTGGACTCGGTGAAGAATGAGGGCACCACCACGGCCTGCTGAGTGCAACTCGTCTGGTGTGGCCCACGCTCGCTTAGTGCTGACTCCTCCCGAAAGGGTGGCGACATTGAGCAAACGATGAAAGCGAGCATGACCTGATTGCTGACACGCCTGGGATTCGGAGGTCTGTTTTTGAGCTGGAACGGGCAACCGCAAAGCCCGGATGCCGCCGCACCTGTTCATGTGATATGCAGTCCTGCAGCGCTTCCCAAGCTTCTGAAGACCGTTCACACCAATGCTGAGACCAAGACTTGCGCACTAGGCGCTGGTGATCTAATGGTAGAACAACCTCGAACTCATCTCGAAGGCCAAAAACTACTCGTCAATTCAATATCATGCATTGTTTCCCATTTGCAAGGACTTGGCGTCGTCAGATAGACTTGCGAATCGCTTGGGCAAGAGTTGAACCCTTTCCTCAGCTCATCTTACATGTGGACGAAGGCGATAGAAAGCATCCATGCTGTTTCATGACGCTCGCTTCTCCAGGAAGCTTGGTGCCCGGGCAAGTGGGCTTGTCGAAGGGCTTGTGTCGCTCATGCTGGAGGAGGTATCCTCAGATCGAGAACGTATGCCCCCGTGTATCGATGCTTCTTTCCACACGTTCTCAGTCCGGTCCTGCATCCCATCCGACGTCTCGGAATCCTGGTCCTGTTGATCTAGGATCTCGCAGGTCTTCAACCCTCACAACTTACAGCCATTTCTGCAGTGTGGCTCCAGCCAAGGGATGTCACGCACCAAAGCCGCTGCTGCACCCTTTGAGCTGCTGCCTGCCAGCACAGCTACATGCTCTTATGCCGGGTGCATTAGCGTTTTCTTGATCACCAGAAGTGGCTAAGTTGAGCACGCTGATACATGATTTCTGCACTCTCCTTTATGACGCAGCGAAGTCGGCCGCACCTGTGGTTGCCATCGAATTCTGACACGATGCCGGAGACCGGCTTCCTGCAGACTGCTCTCAGGACATGATATTCTAAAGCTTTTCTCAGACTGCTCTCCTTGTACCTGATCGCTGTCTCCTTGTATCTGCGTGGGCCAGATCCTGCCCATCAGTCCGGAATTTACAGGAATGTCCTACAAGATTACTATCTAGAGAGCCGCCATGCCGAAATGAGCCCAAAGTTGAAAGCGCGTTGTCCTGCGGTGCACTTTGAAGAAAGCCTGGTCGATGCTCTGAGTTCCTGCAGCAATGAATCCGCGCAAACTGGTGCAAGTGAGGAGCCACAATAGCCGCTGCGAAGATTCAATCAAGCCTCCGCACCTCCCTGTATTAAGACCTGTGACCGAACCACACCATACATGTAGCACGTCAGCAGACCTCCATTCAGGTCCACGATCGCCCAGCCAAGGTGGAGTTGGTGCGCGGGGGCCTGCAAAACGTCCCAGTGCTCGAACGAGTTTTCCGGAAAATTCATGGTCCGGCTCTGGGAAAAGCACTCACACATGGCATTCGCTCCGCTTCTCAGCAATAAAAAGAGGATTTCATGTTTGCCCGTGAAGGCCATTGCACACAGGCGGTGCTTATTTCCGTCAGAGTGGAAGGGCGGGTAAAAAAAATTTATGAGCTCTGAAATTAGAGCCACAAATCTTGCACGGTTTGTATGTTCCATGACGAAACAGCCATGCAAGGATTCAGTGAGAGGCAACGTAAAGTCCTTGCTGGGAAGCCGGACAAATGCGAGCAACTGTGATAAGCCAAGTTGTGTTGTGCGACGGCGCCTCGGCTGCTTTGTGAATAGCTGGCTGCGTGGCAGCATCGCAAGGCACCTGCAGCTTCAGCGCGCGGGCATGTCCCTGTTTAAGTGCAACTGCCAGCCGTGAGCTGGGTCATAAGTGTTGTGCGTGTGAAATTCGCAAAACTTCCTCCGAGGGTGTTGTGATTGTGTGACTGCCAAAGTATCGGCAGGGAACTCTGGCGAGGGTAGTGTCAACTGGTGTATCGACCTAGCTGGCTGCGCCACTAGGCATTGCCTAACAACAAGATGCTAGACGGACGGAAAAGGTACCCTCTGCAAGGTTGACGAAGATAAGAACCACACCACAAAGAAGCACTGATGTTACATTTGCGCTTTCCATGTCGTCTTCGAAACAGACAAGCAAACACAGAGATGACATCGAACAATCACAGAAATGCTGGAATCGCGCATGGACAGCGCGGATTCGTGCGCTGGACGGCAGCTTCGCACTCAGGAAACTTCGCACACCAACCTGCCCAAACCCTGAAGCCTGAAAGCCGTATGCAGCCTAAGAGCCCTTAGCCCCAGCAGAGCCCAAAACCCCAAACAGCCTGTTGCGGTAACTGTCACCCAAATGCGCATAAATTGGAATGCTGTCTACGAGCATGTGAGGATCTGGCGGAAAAATTTGCGAGTCCTTTCGGCAACATTTGAACTCTTGCCTCAGCCCACTGAGAGATGTGTCCATGCTGTTTCATGACGCTGGCTTCTCCAGGAAGCTTGGTGCCCGGGCAAGTGGGCTTGTCGAAGGGTTTGTGTCGCTCATGCTGGAGGAGGTATCCTCAAATCGAGAACGTATGTTTTGAAGCGTGCCAGTAATTAAAAGGCAAAGCCGAAGGAAACGCCAGACTTACAGCACCGAATGGGCCAAAGCAGTCATATCTAGTGTGCCCCTGCCGCTCCAGAATTCTAACAACTGTGTCATGCACGTGCAAAAGCAGCAAATCAACGCACCACAATACTTGTCTTGTCCTGCATCTCGTCTCGCGTGTCATCACCGTCATCACGATCCTGCTGCTTTCAATATGGCAGGAATCCCGGTATCTATGCTTGCCTGGTTTTCCCATTACCGCAATGCGGCTCCAGCCAAGGGATGTCACGCAAACGGGGGATCGACGCGTTGAGGCCGCTGCCTGCCAACGCAGCCGCATCCCAAGCAGGCTGTACAGGTCCCTCACTGCACTCTCAAGGGCCCAGTCTTCTGCCTGAAGTCATGTTCTGCGAGCCAGCCGAAGCGGAGGCGCTCCTGAAGGTGCCGATGCCATGATTTCTCATCCGTGCTGCGACTCATAAAGGCCACTGCCAAAGACGGCAAAGCGGAGGCAGAAATGCCGGGGAAGCCGCTCAAGACTTTCTGGGTAGCATCCTTGCACCCAAAGTCTGCAGATGCATCCGTGTCAGTCTGCGGACACAGGCAGAACTGTCAGAAGTCCTGTTGCACGAGAGCCCCGAGTCTTGTGGTGCACTTCGAAAAACTCTCGCCGAATTGGCCGTCCGGATCCTCACATCGTGAGTTTGTGCGATGAAGGGTCGTTGCAAAATATCGCCCATGGTTGGATGCGCTGAAACCTTGGTTTCCTCAACCCATGAGTACAAGATCAAGTCCCATGACCATGCCATGCATGCATTGCTTAATGAGCAAAGCAGATTGCTGCTACTTACATATGCTCCGGCTGCAGGCCTCGGTACAGTACAGCTTGTCACGGCTTCTCTCGCACAGCAGATCTGCATGTTTAGTGCAGGAAGAGCAGCAAGGTCCTGAAAAGCTGCTGTGAATTTCCAATCGCTCGAAGCTGCAGGTGGACCCCTGGTGGACTCAGCCGGAATTGTCTGTTGCCGTGGATGCCGTGAGACCATCCGAAGTGCCTCAGGGGTGTCTGAGAAGCCGTCATCGTGGCTCCAAGCTATTCCATCGCGCAGTTGCATCGACCTGCAGGGAAAACTTAGCAAAGCAACAACGACAGCCGCCTCGCATCACGCAAGAGGCCCTGAACAAACAAGGTGAGCAAGTTGCCTGTGGTCGGCGCAAATGCCATGCATGGCACCAGGTCCAATTCCGTTCGAGGATGTGGCTTTAGTCAGATAGGATATGTCTCGCCAGGTCATGGAAGTGTCACGGATCATGACTGTTGAAACAGTGATTGATTCTA